TAGTATATATATATATATATATATATATATATAAACCTAAAAAAAAAAATATTTCGTTTCACATGCTCCATGTGCAAAATTTGATACGGCTAAGCAACCTATGTCAAGCAGCAAATGAGTACAAAGGTCATAACTAGAAGAAATAATTGTTTGCTTTACTTCTTTATTTACTGTTCTATGTTTTAAGAAAAATAAGTTTAAGTAGTTATTTGTAAACAGTAATAGTGTATATACATATGTATAGTAATAATTGAAATGTGATTGTATTTTACAAGATACTAGTCCACTAAAACACAGCCAAGACAGGTCACTTTGTAAAGGTCAGTTTTATATTATTGGATACAGTAACATTAGTGCACATGCACTGCATTATTGTAACTTCTGTATCGTAAGCCTGGCATGGCTGAAAAGTCAATATAATAAAAATAATAAATATATGTAAATATATAATGTTATTAGATTTAAGCAATTTAGTCTAAACATTTGTGTTTTTGTGCTATAACTTTTAGTCATTCTAGAAAGAAAAAGGCATAATTTATATTTATTTCCTAATTTTTTTATGGTGGTTATGAGATAGGTCAAATCAACGCAACCCATACACAGATTCATTAGTGAAAATAACAGAATAAATATAAAGTTTTTCTTAAGAAAAGTTTGATAACTATCTGGACATTATAAATATTTCACATCTGAAATTTGACAATTTTCTGATGTATAAAGGAATTTTTAATCTTAAACTGAAAATTACTTTGCATGTTGGATACATAACATGCAAAAAGAAAAAAGGCATGATAAAAACATTGCTTAATAAACCTTAAGAATTAAGAAAATCTGATATTTTGCACATGAAAGCCTTGTAATGTTTACTGATAATCTGCCAAATTTCTTGAACATACGCTTACTATTTTAAAGGTTATAGCATGAAAACTATAACAACCACAAAATGGTTATGAGGTCGATCCCAGGGACCAAGCCTGTGCTGAAAGAGTTAAAAAGCAGAGTTATGACGTCAACCAAGTCGATCAACCAAAACCAGACAGCATCTGGAATTGTACATCAGGTCCATGGTAGGTGTGCATAACCAAAACCTGCAGCAGAAATATTTAATTATAGATAACAAAAAATATGGAGACACACAACCAACACCTGGTAGAATCTGAAATTGTTCATCGGTTCCACGATAGGAAGGGGTACAACGTTACTGACAACGAGCATGGTCGCAGGATGGACAGTGTGAATTTTCAAACAAAAAAAGTATACCTGGTCAGGCACCACTTGCCACAAAGTGGGATCCCAATACAAAAAGAAAAAGGGCTCCTAGAAAGCAAGATAAATTTGAAAAAAAAACTTGGCACAACACCAAAATGCAAAAAATTGAAAAACATATTACAGAAAAACAAAAACTAGCATGTCTGTACAGTACTACTGCCAATCAAGATGTGATTAGTGAGTGCAGATGTGAAGAGGGTACTGGTTACAATAGGAGTGGTGACGTGCTCCTATTGGTAAAGAGCTGCTACATGGTCCTTTGCAAATGGATATGCAGAGGCAGGAGGTGGAAGGCAAGTGGCGTGTGTTGAAAATTGGTGCTGATAAAGGGCAGTGCCAGTCGAGAAAAGCTATTTTTTTTAGCAGAAGTGAGATATTGTATCGGAAATAATAGGACTCCTGGTGGTTAGGGTGCAACAGACCATAAGTGGG